ATGGGCAAACGTGGGCCCTCCAGGTGTTTTGGACTGCAATTCCCACAATTCCTAACAGCCTACCGGCTGGGTTGTTGTAAGTTTTCTACACTGTATGAGTTGCATTTCAGGCATCCTCAGAGGTTATGAAGTCTGTTGGAAATTAGGAAAATGAAGTTTGTATATCTGTGGGATGTCCGGGGTGGGAGAAAGAACTCTTGTCTGTTGGAGGTAGGTGTGAATGTTTCAATTAGTCATCTTGATTAGCATTGAATTGCCTAGCAGTTTCAAAATCTGGATTCTTACTGCCTGAGGGAATCCTTTGTTGGGAATTGATTAGCTGGCCCTGATTGTTTCTTGTCTGGAAATCCCCTGTTTTTGAGTGTTGTTTACTGTTATGGTTTTAGAGCTTTTAAAAATACTGTTAGCAAGATTTTGTTCATTTTCATGGTTGTTAGGAATTGTGGGAATCGAAGTCCAAAGCACCTGGAGGGCCCAATTTTGCCCATGCCTGGTGTAGAAGCACCCCAATGAAAATCCCACCACGTGGAGATTCTTGCAAGTGGTTTATAGGGTGTCTTCTGGAAACAGGTGAGCGAGCTTGCCCTCCTTCATTCTCTCTCTCTCTTTCTCTCTCTCTCTCCTAACTCCTCCCGCCTCTGCAAAGAAGAGCCGCGGCGGCTTTGAATGCCATTCCAGTTCCCCCCGGGGCCAAACTGGGAAACGAAGTGCCTAACACGCGTGTCCCTTCTGTGAAAAGAGTTGCCAGGAGACAGGACCGACGGGGAGGGAACGGAGGGCCGGTTCTCCTTGGCTCCTGGGAAACCAACGCCTTTGATAGTCTGCACCGTCCATCGCCTCAGGATGGAAGTTTCAATGGACGGTGAAGGGGGAAAAATAACACAAACCCCTTTTCCTCGATATATTTATTCCCATTTCACTAATATGAGAAGCGGAGGGCTTCCCAAAAGGAGACGGGGCTCACCTTGAGCCTCTTCTCCGCCCTCTCAGAAATGAGAGAGGCGTGGTCTCTCCATTGGTTTTACCCTACAGCAGTGTTTCTCAACATGGGGTTTGGGACCCCTGGGGAGTCATTGGGGGGGGGGCTTCAGAGGGGTCGCCAAAGACTATTAGAAAACACATATTTCTGACCGTCTTAGAAACCTTTGACAGGGAAGGCTGAAGATCTCTCTGCTTGTCCTTCTCTTCCTTTTTGGAGTTGGTGAACTACAACTCCCAGAATTCAAAAATAGCCCCCTCCAACCCCACCAGTATTCAAAGTTGGCCATGTTGGTAGTATGCCAAGTGGGCTGGGTTCAGAGTGCTTTTTGATTGTAGGTGAACTATAAATCCCAGCAAATACAACTCCCAAATGTCAAGGTCTATTTTCCCCAAAGTCCACATTTGGGCATATTGAGTATTCATGCCAAGTTTGGTCCAGAGCCATCATTGTTTGAGTCCACAGTGCTCTCTGCATGTAGGTGAACTACAACTCCAAAACTCAAGGACAATGCCCATCAAACTCTTTCAGTATTTTCTCTTGGTCATGGGAGTTCTGTGTGCCAAGATTGGTTCAATTTCGTCGTTAGTGGAGTTCAGAATGCTTTTTGATTGTAGGAGAACAATAAATCCCAGCAATTACAACTCCTAAATTTCAAGGTATATTTTCTCCAAACTCCACCAGTGTTCACATCTAGGCATTTTGAGTATTCGTGCCTAGTTTGATCCAAATCCATCATAGTTTGAGTCCACAGTGATCTCTGGATGTAGATGAACTACAACTCCAAAACTCAAGGCCCACTAGACCCTTCCAGTATTTTCTGTTGGTCATGGGAAAATACTGTGTCACAAGTTTGGTTCAATTTCATTATTGGTGGAGTTCAGAATGCTCATTGATTGTAGGTGATTGTAAATCCCAGCAACTACAACTCCCAAGTGACAAAATCACCCCTCCCCCCTCCCGCAATCCCGCCAGTATTCATATTTGGGCGTATCGGGTATTTGTGCCAAATTTGCTCCAGTGAATGGAAATACATCCTGCATATCAGATATTTACCTTACGATTCATAACAGTAGCAAAATGACAGTGATGAAGTAGCAACGAAAATAATTTTCATGGCTGGGGGTCACCACAACCTGAGGAACTGTATTACGGGGTCAGGGCATTAGGAAGGTTGAGAACCACTGCCCTAGAGAGTCATCTGCGGAGAGAAGTGCCATTTCTTCCTTGAATGGGGTGAAGGGTGGAGTGGGGCGCGCCTCTGTGGAGGAGGAAGGGGAAAAGGCACTCAGATGGGCGAAAGAAGAGGGAGCCAAGTTCCCCGACTCATCATCTTCTCTAGAGAGAGAGAGAGAGAGAGAAAGAGAGGAAACACCTAACTCAATCGATAAGAAACCCGCCTGGAAAGGAAGGAAGGAAGGAAGGAGGGGTCTGGAAAGAAAGATCTTGTTTCTATTTTTGCTGCCTAATCCAGACATCTCTTCCCCTGTTTACACCCGCCGTCCTAGTATCTACATACCATTCAAGAATCAAACGGGGAGGGTGAAAAAAAACAACAACACATCATCACGCGCGTTTGTGTGTTTGGACGCGGAGACGTCGATACAGAGGAGGAGAAGGGAGGAGGAGGGGGAGGAGGAGCGGGAGGCGTCGGAAGCGATTAATTTAGGCGGCGGAGACATACCGGCACAGGCAGCAAAAGAGCCCCCCCCCCCCGCCTTGTCTTGCCTTCCATATGCATGAACCAGCGACACCTCTAAAGAGACCTTGGGGAACACAAGGCGAGGGCCCCGGGCAGAGAGGGGGAAATAGGTCTGAAAGGAAAAGAGAAGGGAAAAAAAAAAAGAAAAGAGAAAGGGGTGATTGGGTAATAATTGCGAGCCATTACCTACTCCGGGTTGCTGTGAGTTTTCCGGGCTGTAGCATTCTCTCCTGACGTTTCGCCCACATCTATGGCAGGCCTCCTCAGAGGTTGTGGGTTCTGTTGGAAACTAGGCAAGAGAGAGAGAGAGAGAGAAGCAACCGCGGCGTTTCTCGCCTTGGCAAAACCTTAAACACCCCTAAACAAGGAGATCCCCAAAAGGTGATCGTCTCGGATTTGGAGAAAGCCTGAGCCGAGCCGAGCATCATCAGGTGGCAGGGAAGAAAGGAAGGAAGGGCTAGGAAACTCAGTTTGGGGTGTCCTCTTCTATTTCCCTCCGAGAAAAGCAAATGAACGCCCCCCCCCTCCCCGCCGCCTTTACACGCTGCTACAACTCTTTCTCCAGCGGCAGGTATGAGTGCGCATCGCCCCGGGGCGCAGCGCAGGATTTCTCGATTCCTTTCGCTCTTGTTCTCGATTTGAATAATTTGGAGGCAGCCAGCCCCTTGCTTTCGCCCCCTCGCAGCTTTAATCGCAGTTCCAAAACAAATCACAATCCTCACTCGCACAACAACAACAACCGTTCTAGAAAGGCAAATGCGCAGCACCTGGAGGAGGATCCAAAAGGGCCCCCCATGGCTATCTTCCCAAACATCTTTTTGTTAGATAAACAAAAGGCATCAAAGACCCGCAGGAAGCGAGGAAACGCACCAAATTGTTCTACTCTCTGCGTTTCAGTTGGGCTAATGTGTATGTTACGTTTTGAAAAGGGGTGGAAAGGACGGAGGAGGTTGTGGGGAGGGAGGGCCAGGCGCAGGAAAGGTCGAAGCCGGAGGAGCCGTTTCAAAGTCGGTAGGTGCACGGAGCTCCACCGCCCTGCAAGAAGCCGGTCTCTTCGGGGATTCGAGGGAAATGGTTTCCATTTAATACATATTTTCCCCCAGGGCATTTGGCGTCAGGCAGCAATTATTCAAAGGAAACAGGCGTGGAGGGGAGGAAGGAGCGCTCCGGCGGGGATTGGGCCCTCTTTAGAAGCCAATCCTTAATAGTTAGGAAACAACAACAAAAGCCCAACGACAGCCGAGGAAAGGGAGGGGGCAGAAGGGGGGGGGGTGGGCAAGATTTTGAAAGGAGAGGCAAAGAACAGAGAGGCGGATCAAAGTCTTCGCCATTTCCACACCAGTGTTTCATATTCTCCTTCAATGAGGAAGGAGTCTTCCTGGGAGTTCGGTTGCCCCTTTCTTCCCAATTTTGGGGCGGGGGGGGGGGGGTCGTGGTAAGACCAATAAATGTGTCAATCTTTCCCGCTCTCTTTAAACTTCCTTGAATGAATATTGATCGAGATTTATGCCCACCCAACTCTGTATCTTGCGCTTGTGTTATCTCCCAGCAAAGTGGGGCCCACCCGTTATCGAAGAGACTGTGTGTGTGTGTGTGTGTGTGGGGGGGGGCGCTTTTGTGAGTTCTCCTTTACTTCCAAGTTAGAGAAGAAAGCAAACGAGGAGGCGTGAACGAGGAAGCCTTGCCCTTGACCCCTGCGGCCGCCCCATTGATGAGTCCCACCTTGACCCCAAACTGGGGAGGGCCATCACCAAAGGGTCCGCTCTCTCTCCCCAAACGAGGGGGCGGGCGGCGCCTGATTGGCTGCCGCGATGAGCGCGCGCCGTCGAACAAAAGCGCTCCTTTTCATCGCGTGTCTTCCGCGAGCCCTGCCTCCCCCCTCTTTCCCCTCCCTCCTCCTTTTCCCCTTCTTCTCCCTTTCCGGAGGTATTCATTCCCTCGCTCTTCTTCTTCCGGCCGCTGATTGGGCGAGCGGCTCCGGGGGAGTGAACGCCCTGCCGTCAGCTGGCGCGCCCTCCTTCCTTCCTTCCTCGCTGCTTCCTTCCTTCTTTCGTCCCAAGCCAAGCCTTTGCCTTTGAACTTCCCCGAAAGCTTTGGGCTCCGGATCCGCGCCGTCGCGAGCCCCTCTCCCGGAAGGAGCGGAGCCGAGTGGGGCAGCTCAGCCCGGGCTCCCGTCGAGGGGAGACGGAGAGACGGAGCACAAGCCCCTCTCCCTCCAGACCCGGCTCCGGATTTGCCTTGGGGACTGGATCCCCGGGAGAAGTGGTATGATCAGCTGAAGTTGTGCGGGAGGCCGGAGGAGGAGGAGGCGGAGGAGGAGGAAGAGAAGCGGGTCTGCTCTTGGAGGGAGGAAGGCAAGAAGGAGAGAGGCAGGCAGCACCATGTCGAAGCCTTCCGACCACATCAAGCGGCCCATGAACGCCTTCATGGTGTGGTCCCGGGGCCAGCGGCGGAAGATGGCCCAGGAGAACCCTAAAATGCACAACTCGGAGATTAGCAAGCGTCTGGGCGCGGAGTGGAAGCTGCTCTCGGAGGCGGAGAAGCGGCCCTACATCGACGAGGCCAAGCGGCTGCGCGCCCAGCACATGAAGGAGCACCCCGACTACAAGTACCGGCCGCGGCGCAAGCCCAAGAACCTGCTCAAGAAGGACAGGTACGTCTTCCCCTTGCCTTACCTGGGCGACGCCGACCCCCTGAAGGCGGCCGGGCTGCCCCTGGGCGCCTCGGACTCGCTGCTGGGCTCGGCGACCGAGAAGGCCCGCGCCTTCCTGCCCCCGACCTCGGCGCCCTACTCGCTCCTGGACCCCGGGCAGTTCGGCTCCGGCGCCCTGCAGAAGATGAGCGAGGTGCCGCACACCCTGGCCGCCGCCGGCGCCCTGCCCTACGCCTCCAGCCTGGGCTACCAGAACGGGGCCTTTGGCGCCCTGGGCTGCCCCAGCCAGCACACCCACACCCACCCCTCGCCCACCAACCCGGGCTACGTGGTGCCCTGTAACTGTTCGGCCTGGTCGGCCTCCAGTTTGCAGCCCCCCGTGGCCTACATCCTCTTCCCGGGCATGGCCAAGGCCGGGCTAGACCCCTATTCCTCAGCGCACGCCACCGCCATGTAACACCACCCAGGCAGGCAGGCAGGCAGGCAGCACACCTCCACCACCACCACCACCACCAACCACCACCACCTCCGCAGCCGCGGCAGAGCCAGCAGAGCAGCAGCAGCAGCAGCAACAACAACAACAACAAACCCCACCTCCCACTGACAGACAGCCCCACCACCATCACACCCCGCAGGATGGAGGAGGAGAGAGCCTACCCTGGCCGGCCCTTGGAGCGGGAACCCCTTCATTTGACCTGCATGTCACATAGCGAGACTCCACAGATATTTTTTACAAAGGCACCTGAGTGCGGGACTGCTGCCCTGGGGACTCACCTGGGGAAAAAAAGACTTTCCAGACTCCTTTTTTTTTTGTCACCCCACCCCGAAGGAAAACGATGAGACTTTGCAATCTCATTGTTGGGGAATCTGAGGGGTTATGGGCCCAGCTCATCCAAAACAAACTAACTAACTAACAAACTCCCCCACCCAAATGCACCCGAAAAAAGGAGTTTTCTTTCTTTCTTTCTTTCTTTCTGCACTTGGGGCTCAGAGGTGCCCGAAACTTGTAAGAATTGTAAATGTGTATCAAACTTTTAATGGCTCCTCTTTTTTTGGCGAGAAGGTCAAACATCTCCTTTCTTTTTGTGTTTTTTTAAATATATATATATTATTTATTACCTGTATGTCTATGACAGGCATGGACAAGCTTGGGCCTTCCTCTAGGTGTTTTGGACTCCAACTCCCACCATTCCTAACAGCCTCAGGCCCTTTCCTTTTCCCCCTCAGCCGCTTAAACGGCTGAGGGGGAAAAGGAAGGGGCCTGAGGCTGTTAGGAATGATGGGAGTTGGAGTCCAAAACACCTAGAGGAAGGCCCAAGCTTGTCCATACCTGCTCTATGAGTTTATATATGATCTGATTAACGAATCGGACTTGAATTCTTCAGACTTAATGTTTTCTCCTTCTTCTTTTGATTTTAGTTTTGTTTTTGCACATCAAAAGTCAAGATTGAACTGTTGTTATATATATCTATATATCTATATTTTACCATCCAGCACTAATAGGTAAAAGAAATTGCTTTTCAATGTCAAAAAAAAAAAAGATTAGAAGAAAAAGAAGAAAGAAAGAAAAAAAGAGAGGGGGGAATAAAACCCCCTTCTCCAGAGTTATTTAAAAAAAAGTGGGGAGGGGGGCAAACGTTTATATTTCAAACATGGTATGATAGTGTTTGCTTAATTTAAAAACAAAAAACAGGTAGTCCTTCAATTTGTGTGAATCAGTGCAAGTAGACCTAAGTTTACTTTAGACAGAATGTCAGATATGAAGTCAGGCAGTAGAACTGTTTTTCTTTTTCTTTTTTCCAAAGGAGAGAAAAAAAAGAAGTAATAACGCGGTGATAATTTAAATCTGTTTTAACAATGTATTTGGGGGGGAAATTGTATCCAGAAGGATTTTACCTCGTTCATTCTGTTCATTTGTTGAACAAAGGCATTTTGAATAAAGACAATCTGTCGTCCAACATGAATCCCACTTCAGTCCTTGCCAGATCCCACTTCCAAGTTGTGTAGCGAGGAAGCTGTACTAAAAAAATAATAATACTTGGCCGAGCAGTTAGGATCAGTCCGACCTTCCTGAATGAAGGGAGGAATCCAGAAGGATCGGGACATTTTGAGGAAATTTTTGTTTGTCCTGTCAGGAGCGACTTGAGAAACTGCAAGTCGCTTCTGGAGTGAGAGAATTGGCTATCTGCAAGGACGTTGCCCAGGGGACGCCCGGATGTTTTGATGTGTTACCATCCTTGTGGGAGACTTCTCTCATGTCCCCGCATGAGGAGCTGGAGCTGACAGAGGGAGCTCATCTGCGCTCTCCCCGGATTCGAACCTGCGATCTGTCCATCTTCAGTCCTGCCGGCACAGGGGTTTAACCCACTGCGCCACCGGGGGCTTCATTTTTGAGGAAATGATCCTGCGGAAAGTTCAATTGAGTAGACTTCATTGGACCTGCAAAGCCCTTGTTTTGAAGGGTGATTTTTGTTGATTGTTTTGCTATACTCCAGCATTTATTTACTTCGATTCATGACTTCCTAAAGTCCCAGGAAGTGCATGAGTCCCTTTATCCCAGGTATGGGCAAAATTGGGCCTTTCCTCCAGGTGTTTTGGACTTCAACTCCCACCATTTCCAACAGCCTCAGTCCCTTTCTTTTCCTTCCTCAGTCGCTTAAGCTGAGGGGGAAAAGGAAAGGGACTTTGGCTGTTAGGAATTGTGGGAGTTGAAGTCCAAAACACCTGGAGAAAAGGCCGAAGTTTGGCCATTAGATCCAGCAGAATAGAAAGGAGGGAGTGAGTAGAGTTGACAAGGTGACTCGACCAAGTGTTTTGGACTTGAGCCCCCAGAATTCCCAAGCTGCCTGGGCCTTCTGGGTGTTGACGTCTCCATGACTAAAGCTTGGAGACCCCTGTCCTAGGCGGGCTTGGGCTTCCTCTTCTTTTACAGGTGAAAACTCAGGTTGAGTCAAAGTTTGGTCAGGTTGCAGTGCTCTAGGGAAGCAGGCCCGCGCGGAATTCAATTGGTTTGGAACCTGGGTAGAGATATATGTCTAGCACTGCAAGGGATGTAAGAAGGTTCACCCACTCGATTTCTCAGCCCCCCCCCCCCGAGAGTGCGGGGTTTCCCTTTCTTATTCTTCCTCTTGTTTTACAGATGGGAGAACTGAGGTTGAGTCAAAGGGTGGCCGGCTGTGTATCAGCCAGTTAGGTTGCAGTCCCATATACGCATTTATTTACCTACCCGTAAGGAAGCCCCACTGAATGCAGTTGGGTTCCCATCTGAGAAGGCATGTCTGGCATTGTATGAGGTGCTTCTCTGCTCAGAGTCTCTGCTGAACACAACAGGACTTGTTTCTCAACAAACACGTGCAGGGTTGCACTATTTTTGTTTTCGCGAAACTGCAAGTCGCTTCTGGTATGAGAGAATTGGCACCTGCAAGGACTAACCAGGGGACGCCCAGATTTTTGATGCTTTACCATCCTTGTGGGAGGCTTCTTTCACGTTCCCTTATGAGGAGCTGGAGCTGGAGCTGACAGAGGGAGCTCAACCCGCTCTCCTCTGATTCCAACCGCTGACTTATCGGTCAGCAGTCCTGAGGGACACGGGTTTAACCCATCGCTCCATGATGGAAGCGTTGAACAAAGCAGACTGACTTCCAAATCACAACAGTCCTCTTGCATTCAATTGAGTTTCCTCCAAAGTAAGCTCAATTGAAGGCAATGGGAAGGGATGTACCAAAACTAGGCAACGCTAGTAAGTTCTACTGCGTGGCAAGAAGCTGAACTGAGGCGATAGCACGATGCTGTACTTGTCTATTCAGACGTGAGCCCCGTTGCGTTCAGGTGTGTTTGTATGGGATTCCCAAGAACCCAAGTGGTTCTTGCCGGTGTTTTTCAAGGAGAGGGAGCGTCCCATCGAGTTTAAAGGGGGGGTTTACTTCCAGGTAGGTTGCCAAATAGGCTTGCGGCCTCAGGATAGCATAGAGGTAATGATTATTATTAAGGATGAAGTGATGAGAGTCCGTCAAGATTTTATTTTGTGGGCATCAGGAGAGGGATGTCGAGGGGAGTCGGCCTCATCACACTAGAGAGAGAAAATCCACTTAAAATCCTGCAGAATGCTGGGGTTTGTAGTGCCTGCCTGGGAGACTGCTTTTCCGCTCAAACTTGAACTTCGGAGTGGTGTTTTACCTCAGCCTTTTCGAAGTCAAAAGCAAAAAACTTAACCCTAAAAAAACTAAGATTGGGAGATTATCGGGATTCCCTGGTAGGAAGCGTCACACTCAGCCGGTGGCGTGGCAGGTCTACTCCGAAGTAAGATTCATTGAATTGTCGAAGGCTTTCGTGGCCGGAATCACTGGGTTATTGTAGGTTTTTCGGGCTGTATGGCCATGTTCTAGAAGCATGCTCTCCTGACGTTTCGCCTGCATCTGTGGCAAGGGTTGCTGTAGGTTTTTCGGGCTGTATGGCCATGTTCTAGAAGCATTCTCTCCTGACGTTTCGCCTGCATCTGTGGCAAGCGATGCAAGCGATCTGTGGCGATGCTTGCCACAGATGCAGGTGAAACGTCAGGAGAGAATGCTTATAGAACGTGGCCAGATAGCCCGAAAAACCTACAACAATCCAAATTTCATTGACTCCAGAGATAGATCATTTCCTGTGCCTGAATTTCTGGGCAAGTGTAGACCCTCAAGGGGGGGGGGGCTACCATTTCCCCGTTTGCCCCTCTCAAAAGGACAAAATACAGCCCAGAAAACTCACAGCAACCCAAAATACTTTCCTTCCTCCCCAGACTTCCTTCATTCCCAATCTCCTAGATTTCGTTGTAACTTCTCCCAAGTAAAAAACAAAAAGGTAGGCTTGGAAAGATAGGAAAGGAGAGGCAAGGTTTTGGACAGCGCCGGGAAAGAAGGAAGAGAGGCAGGAAGGGAGGAAGGAAGCCGGCGCGAGGCCGATTAGCATCTTGCCCCAAACAATTAGCAGCGCTTGGCTCCCTTATTCATCAGGTCCCTGCTTTTGTTCGGGGGAAAGGGGTTTTCATTAAGAGGGGTGGAAGGGAAGGGAAGAAAGGAAGGGGGGAAAGCAGAAAAGAAAAGAGGGGAGAGAGCGAGAGAGAGGAGCAGTTGTCCATCTGGCCGGGCTGAATAGCAGCCGCGATGCACGTTGCCGATGCTTTTCTCATTAAGTGCTCTTCGGAGACCGCCGGGCGGAGGCGATGCCATCCGCACAATTAACATACACGGGGCCCTGAATGGGAAGGGGAAGCCGGGGAAGAAGGGGGAGGGAAAGGCCAGGGAGGGAGACAAAAGGGGGCCGCGGCGTGGAAAGGCGAGGCGCGGATGGCGGGACCACGCCGGCTTTGCATGACAATCAAACGTTCAAAGGAAACAATAATCGTGGTAATCGAAGAGGCGCGAAGGAAAATGGGGAACGAGTGGACGGAGCCACGGAGAGAAGCTTCAGGAGGAGGCAGGCAGGCTGATTTAACCCCACCTGACAGTGGCTGTCAGGCCCTGTGATAACACTCGTAGCTCAGTGTCCTTTAACATCTCCCGAGATTAGGTTTAAGGCTGGCCTCAGGGAGAGGCGGCGGCCTGCCAAGGGCTGTCTTGTCTTCCCTCCCGGGAGATTTGGGGCGAGAGAGAGAGTCCGGAGGGCGCAGAAAGGTCCTCAGAGAAAGGGGGTGCTCCCCATCTCCAACCAACACACCTCTCCCCCCCCCCCCCCGCTCCCTTCAGATCCATCACTCACCTTCCTATGAAATTAGGAAGCATGACCGAATTACCATTGCAAAATCAATTGCGTCTGTGACAGAATGGACTCGGCCCTGTCCCACCGGAGGCGTGAAGGTTGTTGACACTTGTCTGGCTGTGTGTGGGACTTGGTCGAGGATTTTGCAGCCACCTCCCCCCCCCCCTTCCAATAAATGGAGCGTTTTTCTTTATAATGGTCACTAAAGAGGTAAACTGAGGCACGGCTTGGATCAATTCCTGTTCTTTGCAGATCTCGCACTCTTTCGGCGAGAGAACAGGAAAAGTAGTAGACTTACCAAAGCCCTGCAAAAATCAGGTATATTTATTTAGGAGAAAACATGTATTGATTCCAGACTGTTAGTTCTTCGCCCATATTGGGTTGCTGTGAGTTTTCCGGGCTGTATGGCCATGTTCCAAAAGCATTCTCTCCCTGACGTTTCGCCCACATCTATCCTATTCTTCCTCTTATTTTACCCATGTCAGGACTGAGCT